GCATCTTCACTTGCTGAATAAACTTTGCACTACTAGTGCTGATGTGAATATTCTCATACTGTTTTAAGTGGTATCTAAGTACTTGTCTGGAGTCTTGGGCATTTCAGGTGTATGAAGTACCACTTTTTAAAACTACGACATACTACAGCTGCTTACCAGGCCCCGTTAAGTCAGTAGGGCAGTTGGTTTTATACATCTTCCACCAAAGCTCTAGAAATACTTGTATCTCATCTTGGAAGGTAAAGATGAGATTTACTGTTAGACTGAAAGGAAATCATAACTTAGACTAGTTCTAGAATGTTGTGTTTAATGCATTTCAGTGTAAAAAAGGTATGCTAGAATAATTGCAAGGAGTGATTGATGAGCTGCTACTCTGTCATGTGAAACGCTGCTGTTTATATAACATGAGCAATTTCTTTAGGAGGAAACAGCACCATGAAGAACTAACAGTTAGGAAGATGGGGATGCTTTCCAACATTTTAGATATATTGTAATCTTTCAAGTGAAATGCAGTGGGAAATTATAGACTTCTAGTTATCCAGCTATTTATTGTCTGATTACAATAGTACACGTGCCCTTGGAATGTGGTTTTTTGAGGCATCCACATTAATGATCTGTATGTAGTTAAAACTTATTAGAAGAGACTAAGGTACTCTATTTATTTATTAGTTAATCGACAGGTAATATGTCTTTAAAAGCTAATGCTTTTAAATATGCTGGGAACTTACTGAGGAACAATGATGGGGAGGCCTGAGAGGTTGGCTGGGCATGGGAACTGATCCTGAGCAAAACCGTAAATAACTGTGGATTGCAAAATTGGCTGGATTGGAGCTGTAAGGGCAGAAGACTGGACAGGTACTGAGAGAATGGAGAGTAAGTAAAATACAAGAATGAGCAGTTAAATTAAGAGCCACGCTTCCTACTTTGCATGCTTGCAGCATTGTTTTCCTTCACTTAAACGTGAACATGACTATAGGAAATAGTCTGACTGTGTGTATGGAACTGAGACTGTAAATCCATGTGGTTATGGACAGATTTGTGCCTGCTAGCTGGCTAATTCTGAAGTGTAAGGAGTAGTGCTGTGGTTTTGACAACCATCGGAATTAGACAACGTGGGGAAAGTGCTAAAATGGCTTCAGTTAGGAGATCCCTATGGGCTGCTGCATCGGTAACATTTGTACTTGAACAGGCTTTTAACTTTGTTTCCAAGCGTGGAAATGGGAACGACACAAATGTAAGCAGTTGCGTTTGTTTAGGGCTCCACCTGGTGGGAATGCGTGGGTTTATTTGGAATTTTGACATTTTACTTTACACTGGTAAATTTTTTACCACGTGCTAGTGCCAGTAGCTTTGTTCTTGGCAATATCCTTTTCAGTATTGTCTTGCGAATATCTGCTTTAATGTTTTTTGTCCCCAATTATTTCAGATTTCTTTATCATTAGCAAAAATGATAGCACTGTAAACTTGTAAGTGGCTGGATAGTTTATCTGTGCTTATTTAAAGATACAGCATCTATCCTACGTATTTTATAATCTACATATTTTCCAGTCTTGAATAGTCTGTTTCAGCATGATAGAAACTGTAATGTTTGGATATGAATTTCTGAATAGGAATGTATGAAAAGAGCTGCCTAAGGATACTTACAACTGCCTCTTCTGAACAACATCGTGGGATTAAAAAAACTCAACAAAACATGTTTTTGTTGGTAGCAAAAATATCACCTAAACCATAGTATTTCTAAGAAGGTTAACATGTCCTTTGTAAAAAGGTTGTGTGTTTGTATTTATATATTATTGAGGTTTATGCAATCTGCTCAAGGAGATTGGATAGCACAGGTTGGATCGTTCAAGGGTAAGTATTGAAGGTGCTTACTGGATGTGTGTGTCTATAAAGAAATTCTCCACTGCAGCACTTCTGAATACAGAGATGGGTAGAGGAGGAGTATTTTGACTGAAGTCCATCACCAGAAGCCCAAATTACAAGTTTATTTCTTCCTGTGCTGAAGTATTTATAGGGAGTTTTTAGATGAACCATAATGAAGTGTGAAGTCTACTCAGAGGTTATCATTGTACTACTGGATGGTACTAATCTGTCTTTGGCTTGTCTAACCTTTAAATACAGAAACTTGCCAAAGGCAAGTTGTGGTGGGTAACCAAACAGTTAAGAGGAAGGTGGCTTCTTCCTCATACTGGTGGTAAATCAAGAACTGCATGGAGGAAGTTGTGCCTGACTTCAACAGAATACAGTTTTCTTTTGAGGCAGGCTAAGTATATATAATGGTATTTGAGGAGTTAGGGGCGGGGTAATCAGCCTGTTGTAACTTAGTCCTGATAATTATATGCTGAAGGTTTTATTCTCTGTTCTTTTCCCCTTTTTGTTTCTAAATGAAAAAGGTAGCTTCTGCTGGATGTAAACACCTCCAGAATGCAAATCTTGTCTTTCCCAGTGATACCTTAATTGTCAATGATTACCCAGTTCATCAGTCTGAATGCTTTAAAACTGAATCTGAGAAATGAGAGGCAGATCAAGCTGAAATGGGTTCATGCTTATTTTTAAATAGTCTCTTCAACTGTATTATGTGAAGATAGAATTTTAATTGACTAAGCATTCAGATGGGAAACATATGCATTTTGTAAGGTAATTTATAGCCATGTATTTGGTTATTATTACAGCAACTTCATAGTTGTTTTTCAGGAACTCAAGCTAAAATGGCTGATAATTATTAAAAGCATAGTAGTTGATTTAGGGAATATATGCTTGTAAATGAGTGTTGCAACCTTACAGAAGGCTTCACTGTACTTTGCAGTATATACTCTTCTAATACTGTGTTCTGATTTGCAACCAAAACGCAGAAAATAAAAATACTGTATTCAGTGAAGTGCTACAGTTAGTGCTTAAATGTATAACCAAAGTTGGCTGGGCAAAGTTAGCTGCTGAACAATCTGTTAATTGCTCTTCAGTATAGTGTGCTGGAGAAACATTCTGTAATTACATCTGTCATCAGCCAAAATAATGGTTGTGTTTAAGAAAAATTGGGGGAAAATAAATCCAGTTATGTGAAACTAAGCAAGGACTTGTTTCTTTCAGAATTAAATGACTGTAGAGCTGCAATTTTAGTGCTTTATGTTACATTTGTCTTTTCAACATAGTCAAGAAAGTGCTACTGTGGTTAAAATGTTTGGCAGAATCTGGAACAAAAAAGGTAGAGTCCATCTAAGTTGTCATGTGTATCGTGTGATGAACTTGTACAAGCAGCCAGGGAATATGAAAAAGCTGTTGCCTCTTCTCTGTGTCTGCAGGTTGTTACCTATGGTACTTGTGTTCCTACATCATGTGAAGCAGTCGTAGAAATGAATCAGCATTGCCCACCCATCCTTTTCTTGCACTCAAATCAGGTCTGCCTCCACTGCTTGCTGAGGCAAAGACACTGTGTGGGTTGAAAATAATACAAATTACATTAGTAATGTGTAAGGGCAAATTAATATTAATGTACAAGGATCATAATATATATGTGTTCCCTGTGTGTTCAGCTGCACAGTTAAGCAGGCAGAGCACTTAAGTGGATGGTCTTGATGACACTAAAAACTGCCTGAGCTCTGCTTGCCTTTCAATGCTTTGTATACATCCCTCCATCACAGCTTCCTGAAGGAACATTTATACAAGAAATATAATACATTGTACCACTAAGGTTAGTGTCGATTCTGAATTTGGATTGTACTGTAAGTCATGACAAAAGGCTTCCTTGGCATGCAGAAGTATAAAAATAAATGAAAAAATAATTTCCTCGACCATGTAAATCCTTGGTTTGTCCTGTTCGCCTTTGGTTTGTGCATTGAAGGTCAGGTTATGGCCACACCATAACAGAATCATGTGGAACTGAAGGCTCTTCATTTTGTCTCTGTTTTTAGATGTAGAAAACTAAATTTTTTGATGCAAACATAAAGCAAAATATAGTTGTATCTTTAGTATAATGAATAATCTGTGGATTTTAGTGTTGAATTTTTAATTAATTAAAACTTAATCTATTAATCCAAGTATAGTATTTATATTTCACAATGTAGTTAATGACACCAAAAATGTATTGAATTATTTTCCTCTAAACTTAATTTTCAGGGTAACGATGTAAACACAGTAACTAGACAACTATGCTTTGAGGATGTCAACACTCCCTTTTTTCCTAAATCAGAAATTGAAATACTGATTTCAATTTTCAAATACAAAATGCCTATCGGGCAAGTCTGACAATCTGTGAAACTGCTAAGTCATTTTAAAGTGACCCAAGAAGAAATAAAATGTGTTTTTTTAAACTATTGACTAGGGGGAAAAAAGTTAAGTGAGGCTTTTGAATATAAATGCTTCGGTTGGATGTATCTGAATCTCAGAAGGAATGTGTATATGGTGAGCAAATGATAGCCAAGGGTTGGAGTGAAGAAATGGGCAAACCAAAGTCATTGTACGTTGAAGCCATACATGACTTCATTTTAAATCCAGAATTACAGAAGGATTCTGTCGAATCACAGTTTGAGTAGGAATTGAGAGATCCTTGTATTAACCTTGTAATTAGCTGGTGTTCCTGTAGCATCTTTTTCTGCATATCACAGATCCTTTGAGAATCTTTGTTTGGTTAAGAATGAGACAAAAGTGTGAGTTGTTGCTCGTCAGTATTAACAGGGATCTCAGTTTAGTCAGACCCATTTGGCTGGGTGGGGGTGCGGTTGTTTGAGGCAGAGCATTAGGGATATTTTTGTTGGCAGTCTGGATGGACATATTAATAGACTTGCATAAGGTAAGCACTTAAGGTAGTCTTCCTGATCTTACACAGCTGACTGTACTTTTCACACCAGGTCTGGTATATAAAACCCCTTTCAAACCATCTGTGCTTCATACTAAACATATTTCTGCAAACTTTGTAGCATAAATGCAGTTCACGATACAGTGAAGACTTTGTGCTACAGCTGGAAAAAGAGCTGGTCCAAGCCAGGCTGAGTGAAGCAGAATCCCATTGTGCCCTGAAGGAGATGCAAGATAAAGTTCTAGAGATGGAAAAGGTAAATTAAACCAGGACCCTCTGTACAGAACAGCACTACAAACAGAATACAGGTCCCTGTAACTCTTTGCATAACTGTGCTCTAGAACTTTCTCTTCTGTGCTTTCATGATTACAAGATGCTTTTCAAACCTGTAAGAACAGCAATAAAACTAAGATATGTTTGCACTGGCAAAGGTTTGTGAAGAACGAATCCCTTTTCTCTTGTTCCTGGAGCCTACTGTAGTGGAAAACTTGGATTCTGATGAAGTCTTTACAGGAAATATCAATTGTTTCAAAATTATATCCTGCGACAAGAGCAGGAGGCTTAGAGTGAGCACTGAGGTGATGTGAAACTAAAAAGTTTGGGAGAGGAAGAGGAAAGAGTACAATATTACCATTCCCAGGTCTTCAGCATCTTCTACTTTGTCCCATTATGGGCAGGGAAAGAATCCCTCCACCATTGATTAACAAAATCTCTGCTGCTTTTTGGGTGCTGTGGTAGCTTGTAACTTCCTGATGCCAGAGCTCAAGCTGTACTCAAACCAACTGTCAAACATTTACCTTTCTTTGAAGTAAAACTTAACTGCAAGATAAAATAGCAAAATAAAAAAAGGAAAAAAAAAACCCAATAAACTGACCTGATATAAAGCATGCTTTTCAGATCTTATTGTATTGGCCTTGGAAATAGTTTCCTTAGGAAATTTTGAAGAGCTATATACCCAGATTTTGGCCAGAACTTAGTTACTGATTAAATTAACCCACTGGAATCAAGATTTACTTTTTAAATTATCTGAAGGGCTTGATGAGAGCCTAGTGGGTTAGTAGTGTAGTTTTTACTGTCCTGACCATTGGTAAGAATTCAGAATATAAGGTATTTTTCAAAATTCAAAAGGAGACTACTTAACTCAGAGACAGCATGCACTGAAAACTTACCTGTGAAGAAAAACTGGAGTAATAGGGTCAATTCCAGTGCACCAGACAAACTCAGATGTACAGTAGTACTTCAGTCTCTTATAATGAACTTAGGCACATGAGAAAGTGGCTGAAGCTAATTCCCTCAAATTCCTACAGTACAGCTCTTTATTGCTGTTACTGATGTATCATGTAATCTGGGGAACTTCTGCTGAATAAGCCAAGACTTGCATGGCTCTGACAGTGATGTAAACATTCAGAAACACACCTTCTCACTTCCTGTATTTGCCAATACTCAGATCCCATGATTTTGAAACATGGAATGCTAATAAATGGCTGTTGTGCTGTGTTCTGTTAATGTTAATCATGTGCTTTACTCTCAACTCTCAAGAAAACCTGGAAACTGTCACAGTATTACATGTCTCCAAAAACACTGGATTTTGCTGATGAGAAATACAGTAGAAAGTGATGAAGCACAGTCCAACTTTGAATACTTAATGTCCAATGATTCACTGTAGGGATATTGTAGTTGGACAGACTGTCCTTTTTCTTCCCCTCTGTTTTTTCCCCATATTTCCATTATTAGGATTTCATCTCTGTGTTGCTTTCCCCAGTGTTTTCCTGTGTTCTGTTTAGCTTTCTCTATTCTTTTTTCCTCATGTGTCTTTCATTTCTAAGACCTCTTCTTGACATGTTGTTTATATATATATATATTAATGCATGGTTCCTTTGAAAAGGAGAACAGATATGTTGACAAAGGCTGGTGACCTACTTCCTAAAAAATAAATTTCCATTTATTATTTTCTCTGTAAACCTAAGTAAAAGTTATAGCTTTAAAGTGTAGTTTTAGTTCCTTGTTTGCTTTAATTTTTATCGACTAGCTCAAAATCTTTCAGACTTCTCTCCATATTTTTGATGGGTTCAAATATTTTAAATATAATGTTTTGTTATGGAGATACCATCTAGGGAAATCATGAAGTCAGAATACCTAAAACTACCACCTTTTCTTTTTTTTCTGTAGTTGGCAGTTAGAAGTTATTTATACATACTATATCCAGAAACTTGGATTTTTTAAGAGATTTTATTTTGCAAAGGATGTGTACTTAAAGCTTGATTAGTACTAAGAGTTATTGTTCCATGTCTCTATTCTTGGAGTGGGTTTCACTAAGCACAGTTTTATTCAAATACATATTTAAGAGGATGGTCCTTGTTGCAGAGGAACAGCTCCCTCCCTGATGAGGAAAATGTTGCCAGACTACAAGAAGAATTAATTGCAGTAAAATTAAGAGAAGCAGAAGCTTCGATGGGTCTCAAAGAACTAAGGCAGCAAGTCAAAGATTTGGAGGAACACTGGCAGGTATGGATAGCAATATACTTTTATTAATTTTTATTTTCAGTGAATGATGATAAACCAAGACTATGAAATTTTGAATTATAGATCAAGTAAAAACTAATGATTGTGGATCAAACTGCTGAGATGAGAAAATCTTTAAATGCAGCTGCCACAAGAAACTTAACTTGGAAAGTATGTTAGAATTTGGTCCCTAGATGGCAGAGGGCCTGTGCTTCCAGCTAACCATTCTGGTAGGAGGGAAGTACCTGAGCAGTACTCTGACTTTGCTAAGTGGTAATAAGGTCTAGAAATAAGCAAAAGTCTCAGGATATACTTGCAATTCACTGACTTACCGTAGCTGGGAATGACTGTCTTCAACTTTTTAAGTGTTCTTAAAAACAGTTTCCATGGGTTTCTAGATTTTAGGACCTACAGGAGAACTATAGCTATTTGTCCTCATATAACTCTGAGACGTTAAATGAAATAAGGGAACACCAGGAAAGATCCAGCATTATCAGCAAAAACATGCTGTTTTTCTAGCGTCATCTAGCTCGTACCACTGGAAGATGGAAAGATCCTCCCAAAAAAAATGCAGTGAATGAGCTACAGGATGAGCTGATGACAGTCCGGTTGAGAGAAGCAGAAACTCAAGCTGAACTGAAAGAGACCAAACAAAGAATGATGGAGATGGAAACACAGGTATGTTTTGAACGCTGATATGTGTGAATTGAGCTGGATGCTGCTGTTGGACTAGGATGGAAGAATTTAGTGCATACAGTCCAGCTTACTTTAATGTCTCTTCTTTAGTCTTCCAGGAGTATGCTTTCCAAATTCCTCATTTGGATTAGTTGGTAAACTGTGTGTGAATGTAAATTTATTAAATTATATCTGGTTTAACAACAAAAGAATGCTTAAGGTGTTTTAAATTTCATAAATCTAATTGGCAGTTTTGATAATAGTAATTCTAATTGTTTAAATGGCAGTGTTTTGCTTTCTTCTGGTGATACTGGCTTTTCTGCTGAGGTCATGAATCTGGTTACTAAGCTGTGGACTCAGCAGAGCAGTTTGTGTGTTGGTCAGGTGTTTTTAGCAGAAGCTTTGCCTTTTGTGTGCCAGAATAGAAATGCATGGATGACCCTTGCTGAGGTTTGTCCAGAAAAGACAATCATAGCTTGACTGCCAAAATTCTTTTCGTATAAATAGGGAATAAGTTGTTAAGCAAACAAATCTGAAATAAAAGTGCACTAAAGTGGTGAGTTCATATTATATCAGTGAACTTTCTCTCCAGTCAGTAAGCACAACATGCAGTTGATGAGAAGGATTTGTAAGAGACTTTTGAGAAATCCTCCCATGGAATATCTGCTAAATGTATCTGTTTTTTGAAAGAGACTCGTGCATCCAAAAGGCTAAACAAACAGTAGCTTTACTTGTCAAGGTTCAACAATTCCAGAAATAATTAGAGCACGTAAGGGTGTGCTATTGAAGAGAGATTAGCTAACTGCAAGGCACATGGTGGTTTATTTCTGACAGAGGCACTGCTTTTTCTATACCAACTGAATAAAGGTTTCCTTTTGCTGTAACTTTTAAAATTTTCATTGAGATGTCAATACTGTTGCACTACAGTTTAAGTGCTTTTATTTGTTGCCTTTGCCCCATGCGTGTATTTTGGTCAGTAGGGGGCATAGGGATCCTGCTGTCTGGCTTACATGTCACAAGACCTTTTAGGTACTTCTCACTTCAGTGTTATGCATTAAGTCTGTTTGTGTTTATGCCGTTTAGCTCTCAGCTGAGAGAAATGCAATGGTTCTTGTGTTATGTACTGGCCTGCACAGCTTCACATACAAATGGTGTGACTGGTACTACTGCACTGATCTCAAGTTGCTTTTAGGAATTCTCTGGACAGAGAAATGTGCACATAATATTTCTGACATACCTGATGTTTCTTGGATGCATGCTGCAGTTGGGATATAAGTTCACAAAATCTTTGCCTTACCTAAGCAAGAAATTGGGAAAAAAAGATGTACAGGAGCTTTGCGATAGTATTCTTGTAATGAGTCATCTGTTGTTAAAGAACAATTTGAATATCTTGATCATAAACAAAACGTCATGCAAACTCTTCTGGTTGCACTTAGAAAACTCTGAATGCTTTTTCATCAAAAGTTTTTTATGGTAAATAATCTATTTACTGTAATAATCTGTTTTGTCAGACTTCAGAGAGTTAAATTAATATCAAAAATCTTTCCTTAACATGCATTTTCATTCCCTTTTTTTGTCATAAATTTCAGAATCAGATCAATAGTAATCATTTACGAAGGGCAGAGCAAGAGGTTACCAACCTACAGGAGAAGGTGCAGTATCTTTCTGCACAGAACAAAGGGCTTCTGGCTCAGTTGAATGAAGCGAAAGGTAGACAAGCAGAGATTGAATGCAAGGTAAACAACATCCTGAATAGACTACTTGGGTGCTAATATACATGTGCATTTTAGTCTTGTCTGCTTTTGTTGGATAGAATTGTCTTAACTGAGAAGCATAAATCATAAAACCAAAATTCTTTTTACTGATTTTGGCAACATCATCTTGAATTTACCATCTCACAAAAATCCCTTGAGGTTTTGACAGAGCTGCTTCTTTGTGGTCCCACGAAGATAAACTTTAAAGTGTGGTTCTACTCAGAAAAGTGTCTGTAATATAAAAAGACACTCAGAGACAACAGACACTTCTAGGGTTTCATTTTCTTGCTGTCTTGCCAATTCCATTTGTTTCTAGTCGAACCTGAATCAAAAGTGCAATGAAGAGCTAACTTCTACTGACTACTCAAACTCTATCACAAACTTTTGGGAAACAAGCCACTGAATCTTAACTAGAAGAAATTGCTTCTACTGACTGTCTTGTTTGCCATAATCATTGGGTTCCTAAGTGCTATTTTTTTAATGCTGAGATTATTCTTATTGATTTATTATTTTTTTTAATATTCTCAATCTTGGTGATATGTCTTTTTCATATAACCTGTAACTTTTTTGTTTGATACTGAAGGTGCTCATTCCTTATTTGTAAGGAATGTCACTCTGTTTCTTGTCCCTTCTCCATATTCAAATTACTGGAAGCATGATTTTTAGTAAATCTAAGATTAATGACAAATATTTTCACTTTTCCTTATTATAGAAGGGATTACTTTAGGTTCCTGTCTCCCTGCTTCTGTACCACAGTGAATGAAGACAATTCATGCTTGGGTTATTTCACTATGTGACGAAAATGAAATTTTAATGTTAAAATGAATTGAAAGGAAAAAAACCCCTGAAGTTTAAAACAGAAAGAGAAACACTGTTGTGCTTCTCAGGCCAAAACCTTGTAGTATTACTGGCCTTTTTAATACTAGGTGTACAAGAGACTAGTGTATCCTGTTACGACGATGTAAGGAATATGTTACAGGTGTGAAGGGCCGGCCTCCAGCAGTAACAGCAGACTTGTACCTACGGGTCTTCTAGAAGTAGGTTCAGTATCTGTACCTTTACTAAACAGTGTTGCTACCACCTTAGATTTGGCCTGAAATACAGGCTGCCCAGAGAGGGTGTGGAGTCTCCTTCTCTGGAGATATTCACAACTCATCTGGATGCAATTCTGTGCAACTTGCTGCAGGTGAACCTGCTTTAGCAGGGGTTGGACTGGGTGATCTCTAGAGGTCCCTTCCAACCCCAACCATTTGGGGATTTTATGAAATGCAGATAACAACAGGTAGGTGTAATGAAAAGACAGCTGTGTAAATACATGAAATAAAGCTATTTAATATGTTGCTGATATAACGACTTTATATTGAAAACTGATGAAGAAATTTTCAGTAATCTTTCAGATAATGTCACGGAGCAATACAGATAAATATTAAGTTTTTGTAGCACTAAATATATTTAAAAGTTCCACCTCCCATCTCCTTATATCTAGCAAGTTTGTTATTCCCGATTTCATTAGTAACTCATGTTTGATTATTTTTTTCTTCCTGTTGTTTCAAGTCATCTGAAATCACGCTCTAGTTCTATTTTTTTCAGTACATATTGGCTAGGTAGCAATATTTCTGCTTCAAGAGGTGTCTCAGAAAAATATATATTTGGATTTTCAACTCTGCCCCCAGTTGTTCTATGCATAAAGGATTGGTACGTTATTTCAGTAGCTTGTATTTTTCTTTTAAAAGATAACTTGAAATGCATAAGCAAAAGTTAAAATTTTTGTAGCAAGTTGCATTTCATACCACCTGTAGGACAACTCTTTTCTGTCACTGGTGTGTACTGTTACATTTTTCCCTTTTGATTGAGTACTGCTTCTACAGCAAGGACTCAATTTCAGATTGTTTCTTGAAACTCACCACTGATCTTTCTAATCAGTTTTGCTAAAGAATTTACAACATAAGATTTGTGCCCCCACCCCAGTCTTGTCCTTCCTACCACCATATCAAGTTCTGTGGTAATTGAGAACATGCTCTGTTTCAGAGATAAAGCATCAGTGCCATCTAGAGCAACACTATTGACTCATCTCAGATACCAGCGTCTGTCCTTCAGCTTTCAGTTAAATACATGCAATCCTGTGGACTTGTCGGTTTGGCTTCATTTGAGCAATCATGCAACAGAATTTAGCAAGAATGGCTGAACTTTGGCTAGCACATGATGGATTTCTGTGAAATGGACTCCACTGATTACAAATACTGTTAATTGGATCCTATAGATGATATACCTCTGTTACAGTAATCTTTAAAAAAAACCCCAAACAAATAGCATGTTTTCAAGTGGCTACTGAGATAAGCTTTGATATGTTCAATTTGGTCTCAACTATACTGTCTAACAAAGGAGGCTTGAATACTGTTAGTTTGAAGCACACATTAGCATAACTGAAATACTGGAACTGATTTACAGTAACTACAGTTTAGTTACACCAGTCTGCCATAAAAGCAGGTGTACCTGAGCCTAGTCTGTCTCTTCCCCAGAGTTATTTGCTCTCCAGCTGACAATACTGCTCACTTCCTATCTAGCACTGCTTTCTCTCTGTGGTCGTACTAGACTGCTGAAAATATAATATTAGTTGTTTTGTGCTCTGAAGTCTTGAGGACTTGCCTCATAAAACAGGAATAAGGGTGTTTCATGTTTCCTTCTCTCTTGTCCAAACTCAGACTGCCTATCATTTATAGACAGACTTACAGGTTAAACTTACAGTGGGAGGCTGATTGTAGGTTATGTGCATTGGTATTTTATTCCAAGTTTTGTTGTGTACTGTGATTTAAGATAGCTGGACTAAATGAGGTTTAGAATATATTTACTTTTGTGGGGTTTTTAATTTATTTTTTTAGACAAAGGAAATGATAAGTAACTCTTCTGTAGCTTTGCTGTTTCTTTATACATAAAGTCAAAGGCTGAAGCCTTTTTTTTATTATGTTGATACTTTTTCTGAATTTTCAATATAACATTTCAGGACAGCTGTTTTCTGGACCTGAAAACTGATAACAGCAAGTTTTCAAAACTGCACAGATTTATTTTCTTTTTAGATTATTATAGTTTAGAATTTATATTAGATTTATATTACACAATTCTAGGGGTTAAAATTAAATTTAGGTTCTTTGGAATAGTAGTAGTTCACACAGTAGTGCAGAGCAGTTTTCTCTTATAATTTTGGGTAAAAGCAGTGCACAGTTGTTAATAGCTGAAACTGATATTTGTTAGCTTGTATCTCTGCCTTCTTTCAGAGCAAAGAAGAAGTGATGGCAGTTCGGCTCCGTGAGGCAGACCGCATTGCAGCTGTGGCAGAACTCCAGCAGCATATTGCTGAATTAGAAATCCAGGTAACAAGTGATGGCATTAAATGTGTAACTTGATACTGATTAGTTTTTGTACTTCATGGGTTTTTTCTGCCTCCACTTTCTTTCCTTATTAGCCTACTGAGAACACAAGGCACTGCTTTGCCAAGTAGGATAATGCTATATTTATGAATTCCTGTGCAAGCAAAGCCTTAAATCTACCTTATGTGCATACTTGTGAGCTGTTAATAATTGCTTCTGTACAAGTACCGTGCTAATGGCAACACTCTTTTTAACTCTGACTTCTGTTTTAGTTTTTTTTCTTGTAATTGGTACTTTTTACCAATGAATAGATGAGGTTGAAAACATCCTCTGTCCAAAAAAAGATGCTAATATTTTGATTTCAGCAAACATCTTTTTCCTGTGCTTACTCTTCTGCTATGACCAGTATGGGAGGATTTATTGTAAAACTCTTACTCCCTTTATGTAAATCTTGAAACCAGAAATGTTTACTGGTACCACATCACTGTAGGATCTGAAGATGCATCCTTTGGCCACTTTCAGTTCCTTTTGGAGCTTTACTTGTCTCATGAACTTGAACAGAAATTACTGTTCTTTGTATTTTTTTGGCTTGGAGAAATCACGATGTCTTACTGTAGTCTGGCCTTTCTATACTCATATACTGTTGTCCTGTCTGAGTTCTGCTGCAAAGGTTTTCTTGATTATCATTCCCGAGTTACTAGCTAGTTACTCTCTAGTTTATTTTTTTAAAAACTGGTATTGCTATTGTCTTTTCTTCCTCTGAAATCTTTCCTTTGAGGTGATGATTTCTCAGCTAGTTGTAGCTTTTTCATCTCTTTGTATTTGGAATGTACAAATAAATTTCATTGAGCTTGCATAAAAAATTTTCATTGTATTTCCTTTAGTGCAGCAGGCACGAAATTTATTAAAAGAAAAAACAATCATTTCTTTTAATCATATAATGCTTAGATATTGCTGTGATCAGAACACTAGAAAGACAGTAAGCATTGCATATAAATCATTTCTCATTGTGTAAGATAACAAAACAGTAGCTGAATTTAGGTCAATCTTCTACTCATGTTAACATTTTACTAAAAAAAAGGGGGGCAAAGTTTAAAGGTTACTTCAAACAATGTGATTTTGTAGGTGAGAAGCCAGTACTCATTTTGCATTATTTTTACTTTAGCACAGACTTCAAA